TTTATTTATTTATATTTATTTCTGTGTAAATGAGAGGATAATTTTTGTGTTAAAAGTTTTGAAAAGATTTATCTTATGTGTTTATTAACCGAGACGAGAAGAGTGGACTCGAAAGAAATGGAGACTACCAGCGTGAAAAGTTTATGCAAGAGGACCGAAGGGAGTTGAAGGGAGTTTGAAGGTAGTTGAAGGGAATTGAAGGGAGTTGAAGGGAATTTAACGGGTGGCTCGTGGTGCGTTCTCGCACACCGAAGAAGATACAATTTCATGCTTCGTTGAGCTTCACCTGCGGTACACCACTACGCTCCGCATGTTCGTTTGTTCCTACTAAAGGACACCTGTCTATTCTTTAAAAAGCTCTTTAAAAACTCGACCATCCTCCTCACCTCGGTTCACGTGTTTTAACAACAAAGACTTTGGTACTCATGAATTTAAGAAGTTAAAATTAAAGTTAAACCCATCGTGTAAACTCTTCAAGGGGGGCCCATTGATTTTATTTATTTTTATTTTTGAATTATTTACGAGAAAGTTTTTTTTCTTTAATATCGATTTTAATTTTTTTTTTTTTACTATAAACAAAATTATAAAAAAAAAAAAAAATAAAAAGAAGAAAAAATAGATCGAGTTGCTTTATTATTATTAAAATAAAAAAAAAAGGAATAGTCCTTGAAGAGTTAAAATAAAAAATGTAAAGGGAATGAATATTTTTCGGTCGTGGTTCTTTTTTTTTTAAAACAAAAAAGAAAAAAAAAAGAAAACAGGATCTATTTATGTTACAAATCAATAATTTATTTACTCAAAGAGAAAGCCTGCAAATTTAAGGCTACGTAATACTTTCGAGGTTAGAAAATCTTTCTACTATGATCTCCGAAACGCGCGTGGAACGTGGAACCGCGGCAAATTTAAATTCGAACGGGTTCAAATAAATTTATATGTTTCGTAACATTTTACACATTTTATACTTAAGTTATTTTTATAATTACAAACGAAACAAATAACGTATACGAATACGAATGTAATTAAAAGTTGATGAGGAATGATAAAAGATATCGATAAAAAAAAAGGATCAACTTACTGGCACTCGTTCATGATCTCCTCTTGCGTCCTAACTTGCACAGGTGCCAAAGATTCAACGTCGGTGCCATAATCGCGAAAGCACGAAGTTATTTTCTCGTCAAACGTGTTAACCAGGTCTTCGAGGCTACCGCTGAAAGGGCTGAAGGTACCTTCCTGTAAGATATCCGTACTGTTGTCGTGATTGGCCGGTACTTCGTTCGCATTACAATTTTCACCAAAATTCGTTTCTAAACTGGCATCCAAAAGTTGTTCTGCAAATGAAATAAACGAAAAAACATCAAATGAATATAATCAAAAGATCTCTGATAAAAATCATCGGGTATGTATTATTTGCTAATTTTCTTTTTCTTTTTTTGATTGGATGAAACATTTTGAAAACGATTGAGATCGATAAATCGAAAGTAAAAAATAATAATCGATTTAAAAATCGTATATTAATTTCGATATATTTCACGTTACAATAATTACATATATATTCTGATTGTGTGTGTGTGTATATGCATATAAATATTTTTTTCTTAGATGAAAAATCACGAGAGGGATAGATTGATAAATAGAAAATAAACAATCGATTTAATCGTTTAATAAATATTGAATATTAGCAAATACATTTCGTGTCAAGGTAATTATAGGAATTAATAGATAATTATATGTATATATACATAGGATATATTTATTAACTTACATATAATTCAACACTAATCGATATTCCGCATATGTGTTACTAATCGAACGTGACCCTTTTTTTTTATCGTACGATCGATTAATCAAAAGGATATATGTTATATATAATATGTATGGCGGCACGCAAATAACATGTATTTCAAATGCCGGTCATGTGTTTGCTATTGATTAGGAGTCGACCGGTCGTCACTTTTGAAAATTTATCGACACCGTCTATCGTCTTTTTCCATACACAGGTTGTTTTTAAAAATAAACATCAATATACACCAATGAAAAAAAGAGAAAAAAAGAGAAAAAAAGAGATGCACACGCATACACACACAAGTATACGAACATGCAGCTAATAAGAATAAGAGAGAAAGAAATATGGAGAAACTGATCTCGTTTCCAACTAATAAAATGGACTACTATTACGGTTCACGATTGTAGATATTTTATTTTTAATTTTTAACAGTAACACCGTCATTTATATACAATAATTGTACGATTTAATATTAGAAATTCCTTGATATATAGTTTTTTTTTTTTACCTCGGGATAAATAATATAAGAAAACTTTCGTGATTACTTTCGTTTGCTAATTATTATAATCAAAATTCCTGTTGCTAACGTTCGATCGGTAACGAAAAGATAAATGAAAAAATAATTAAGATAGGGAGGATTGGAGATCGTTGAATTTTATTTAGGTTAATTGAAATATTCTAATATTAGGGTGAACCAAAAATTCTTGCATTTAATTATATTGAAACTTTACTTTGAAACTACATAACGAATTGTTTTTATAATATTTATTTTGGAAATGTTTAAAAAAAAAGGCACGAACTTTTGGTTCATCCTAATAATATATAATTTTGAATGAGGGGTGAGAGAAAAACAACTATGTGTGGTGCGTATGGTTTTGTAAACTCGTAATACCGAAAGATAAACAGAGAAAGAGAGAAAACTAGTGACGAGCAGAACCGGTGGATATTGGACTCCGATTATAGCCATGTACACACGGCTAAGTACGCATTGTCCCGTCTCACGAAGGTCGCGCACGCATCGTCTCGTACGACGCCGACACAACCAGACAAAACCTTTTACTACATCTTCACGCCTTTGTCTTTCTCTTTATCTCATTATCTTTATCTATTATTCTTTTTTCTTTCCCCCTACTCTTATATTCGTATTTTATTTTATTTTCAAACTAGAGTACATTTAATATATTTTCTCTCTCTCTCTCTCTCTCTCTCACTTTTAATCTCTTTCTCTTATTCTTATTATTTCGAAAATAGAACACCTACATATTTCCCCCCTTCTATTTTTCCTCTTCTTTTATCTCTTTCTTCTCTTCTCGCGTTCTTCTTCTTATTATTTTTATTATTATTATTAGTATTTCAAAAATAGTACATCTGTATATATATATAGTACGTTTCTCAAGGTAATACACGTTTTCTTAGATAAATCGAAATTCGTTAACATTCTGTATACTTGATTCTGATTGGTTGATAGTAATATAAATGTTACACATCGTCCAATCAGATTACGATCGAGCGGAGGTAAGTTACTTACGTCAGAATTTTTGATTACAAAATCAGTGTCTCGAGAAAAAGAAGAAATTATTGTTATTATCATTATTATTATTAATATTATTATTATTGTACATGAATATAATGATAATAATTATTATTATAAGGACACGTAAAGCGATATTATTCGCGAATGAAGAGAAACCTCTATATCTCTGGATTTTATTCTTCCTTTTCTTGTACGCATCGAATTACGTCGATGACTCGCGTAGTACTCCCGAGCAGACGATATAATCGCGAAAACAAATATGTCGTAATAGGAAGGTTCGTCCTTGGAACGGTCGATTACCATCGCCGTCTTGACTTTTTCTCTTTTTTCTTTTTTCTCTTTCTTATTTCCATCCCCTTCGACAAATTTAAATACCCGTTAATCTCAAATTCCTTTCCAATTCCGAAACTCAATGTCTAAGCAAGTGCGTATGTATTTTGAGTACTCGCATCACATTGACAAAATTAAAAGGAAGAAAGAAAAGAAAGAAGAAAGGAAGGAAGGAATAAGGAACCCCTTGTGCTCGCGTATTCTCGCTTCGTGATTGGCTGTCGACGCGTAACGTGTGCTCGCCCGTTTAATCGATCAATTTTCTTATATCTTTCGTCTCGCCCCATTCCATTTAATAGATTCGAACAATTACGATAATGGATGTTCGTCAACGCGATAACGAGAGGGAGAGAGACAGAGAGAAAAAGAGAGAAAGAGAGGGGAAAAACAGAGAGGTAACAGCATCCTAGTTGTCCCCATTATATTAAATTTCCGATACGTCTCTGAAGTTTTTATGTGTTCAGAAGGATCGTTAAAAAAAAAAAAAGAAAAAAGAAACTTTGTTTTATTAATAAAAAATCAAAGGTAAAGTGGAAAAAGAAGTAGAAGAAGGAGAAGAAGAAGAACCTTGACCGTTTAAAAATTTTTGAATTAAGATATGCAAATATTTCGTAGGTGTTTAAAATATTTCAAATCTGCATAATCAAAGTATAACGCCTGATCTGGAAAGTTCGACTAACATAAGAGAGAATCGTCGGATACGATTTATAATTTCTACGCTCTAGTTTGTTCTACGGTGTTTGAAGATTCTTCTTTTACGTTCACGTATTCGTTCGTTCGTTTGTACGTACGTACGTTCGTTTTTAGAACGACGACGACGACAACGAATCGAACGAGAACGTGCATGAAAGCGACCGGGTTCGTCTCTTGGAGAGTCGTGTGTCCAACGAGTCTACACGAGATTCTCCGAATCCCCCAATGACGCGAGAGAACGCGTCAGCCGACGACAAGTTTTTGGGGGTAAAGATCGAGTCAAAAAGGTGTTGTTAACACATTAATACTTCTTCTTCTTCTTCCCCCTTTAACAATTACCTCGAGAGTCGAGAATTCATTTTATAACGATTATCTGTCGAAATGACATACATACATAGATACATACCCGTCAAAAGATTCATATTCTTTAAACTGGCAGTTTCCTCCTCCTCGAAGCGCGCAAGGGGTGCTTCGAACTTCAACTCGGCGATCTTGCCCGCCATGTCCCTCATTATTAGGCACGATGAAGAATCCAGGAGGGAGGTATTTTACCGCAGCGAGATTTGGAAAGGCACGGTAAAGCCTGCGGTGCTCCCGTGCCGCTGTTGTTCCTCTCCTTCTCTTCCTTCTCTTCCTCCACCTATTTCACCACTCCTCCTCCACCTTCTGGAAACACCTTATTCCTCTTCTTCTTATATCTCGATGACGTTTAGTCACCACGACGCGCGACAGATAAACGAGGGTTAAACAAAGCTCAAGGAAGAATTGTTAGAAGTAAGAGACCGACCTAGGGAAATAAAAAAAAAAGAGGACAAATAAGTTTTACGGATGGATTAAGGGGACAAAAAAAAGGAGAGGCACGAGCGCGCGAATATATCGCATCAAGGAACCGTAAAACGACCCATCCAACTCTACGCGAACGACTGACGCAGAGGGCGGTTAGCCGCTTACTGGTGGGGGAGATGATCGCTCGTTGTCATGGCAACGGCTGGCTGCTCCGTGCGCTGCGCGCCGTTTCTACCAAACATTCTATTTGCGCATCCCCGCAAAACTAGTCGTCCTCCCATTGGCCAATATTTGTTTCCGATTTCAATTATTTATCCGATCACAAATATATTTCATTTTTTTCACGATTATCATTATTTTTTCTTTATAGACAAGTAATAAAAACGTATATATAAAATAAAATAAAATATTCAATTCAAAGTTTATTACGGACGGGTAATGGCGTAAGCAATAATTATATCGACGGGTCTTGAATCGATCGATAATTATCATCGCATCTACTTTACCGACAAATGCAATTGCAGAGATTGATCGATCGTAGGTAAATTAAAATCTTACCTTATCGATAAATCTTTTTTGGTCGAAACATTGATAATGCAGTTTATACAATTTTATGATTTGTTTCGATTATCGATAATCGATTAATTGCGTACCCAATCGACATTCGTTTACGGAGGACAAATGGAAATACAATACGTATAAATATGTAATTACGTACAAATTGAATTAGACATATCTTTGTTTTTTTTTTCTTTTTTACACATATAGTAAATATTGTCAAACAAATTGGACAAGACAGTTCAATTGAAAATATCGAGAAATGATTATTACCGTGTAGGTGTTTATAACATGTACGCGACCGGCATCCATACACATGTACGACGCTGATGAAAATGGGGGTGTCATTTGAAGTCTATTAGCATAGTCGCTCGCTATTCGTAAGTATAATGAAGGATTACTAAGGAGAAGGGCTGGAAAAATACGAGGACACGCCTGCGAGATGTCGCGGAGCCACACCTTCGTTATTGTAAGACACAAAAAGTGTAATAGTATCATATTATTCTAACTGGATATTCGTTGGCGAACTGCATAACACAATGTTTTTTTTTATGAGCGACGATACGTTAGACAACCTTGGGACACACACCCGTGATCTAAGCGTACACATAAGCGTTTCATTTTTTCTTCTTTTCTTTTTCTTTTTTTTTTCTTTTTCTATTTTTTTTCTTTTTCTTCTTCTTCCCCGCCTCCCTCTCTCCACCCCACTCCACCCCACCATAGATCTCGTCGATATCCTGTGAGAAGGTTTACCGAACGGGTAAGATTCCTTTCGTCACAGGATAAAAAGCAAATGAGGAAAATGTCAACGTCATTAAAAGCTATATTATTGTAATACATATATATATTTGTTTTTTATAACACACGTTGCGGCTTGCGGTCTGCTCATACGTATACTTATGTCAGTATAAAAACATACTTGACGCGAGTCAGCCATATTGTGGGTGGATTAATACTATCGATAAAATGAAAATAGGAAAGGAAAAAAAAATCAAATAAAAATGGGAAAAGAAAAAAAGACAAGAGGAAGAAGTAGTGAGTGAGGGAGAGGAAGAAAGAGAGGAAAAAAAAAATTGGAAGGAAAAATGGTGGATTGTAGTCAGCCTTGGCATCGTCATTCTCGTAAATCGTATTGTTAATGTGGGGCAGATCAATCCAGGGCTAGGAGATATGTACTCGTTGAACATTACAGTAAGGTAGCCATTGCTCTCATTGAACGATTCAATGAATGTGTTCACTCTGTATATATTATACATATATATTACAATGGATATGTCGCGGTTTCCCTAAGCAACCTTTCGAACGAGTTTACATATTATATAATAGAGAGAGAGTGAGTGAGTCGATGATCTGTCTAACGTTCTATTTATTTCGTCTACAATTTAATTTTTCCTTTCCAATTCGCATAATATATTGATTACTAAACTTTTTGGAATTTTATTTTTGTTCGTTCGTTTGTTTGTTTGTTTGTTTCTTTTCATTCTATCTCTCTCTCTCTTTCCTCTTTCTTATCTTTCTAGTACTTATTCGTATAGTTTTTTTTCTTTTCTTTTTTTTTTAATCTAACTAGATTAAGGATACATGATAATGTAGAATAAAATGCAACGATTTGTGTATAGCACACAATGAATACGGTGTCGTTATTTGTTCCTCGTAAGAATATTATAATACTTGACTTTTTTATTTAATCCACACTTTTTCGAATTTTCTTTTTTATTTTATAGACAAAAACGATATCGGTTTTGATTGGAACTCGAAATTTTCTTTTTTTTGTTTTAATAGAAAAGAAAAATTAATTATTTTCTGTTATTTTGTTTGATTTTCGTTATTACTTACGGATACTTTCTGCAAAATCAAATATATAAACAATGGAAAATATAAAAATAACGGATTATATTTGTGTAAATTGGAAAAGACAACGAATTTATTACAAATTTGAAAAAATTTAATCAGAAAAAGAAAACTCTCTGGTGTGTAGGTGCATGCACTACATCGATATTACATCAGATATCATTTTTATCGATTCAAACAAATCGATATCCTTTCGTTCCCAACGAATTACGTTAACACAAAGAACACTAGAAGGCAAATTCTTGCGTTATTATTTTTCAAACAAAAAAATTATTACCGTATTTATAGTTCGCTGTGTTAGTTTAAACGTATTTGTCGTCTAACGCAAGTGCAATGATTCAGAACGGTACTTTTTGCGTTATCTCTCGTTTTTGTTATTATTTATTTTAATTTATATTTATATTTATACGATTTTGAAAATTACAAATTAACGTAAAAATGTAAAAAAAAAAAAAATAAATTAAACATCGAGATCGCAATCGCGTGTTTTTTTTCTTTTATCTATTCTTGCCAATAAGATAATTTTTCGATAAAAAGATGAAAAAATATCAAATATAAATTTTCCTATTTATTATAAATTCGCGATCTAATCGAAGGAAAAATAAAAAAAAAAAGGAAAAGAAAAACGACGAGATTGAATAAATTTGTCTCGAATAAATCTCGTACCTACCGGTGTTGGAAAATAGATTGTCGTCGGGATATATCGATTGTACCCATCGCAATAAGAAAATTCAAAAGAAATGAGACAATCGTAAAGAAAATAATCGCTTGGACGTTTCTATAAACAATCGCGATAGTTACGCGTTCGTTTGTAACAAATTCACTGAACCGTCAATTTGTATATCATATTAATTAATCAGCCGGATCGAATGTGAATTCAATGGAATGGACATTAACGTGACATTCTTTGCCATTCAATTAAGAAGTTCACGTTTATCTAACGACCCTATCGGGAGACTGAGAATGAGTAATAAATATACTTTTACTTTGAATATAAAAGAGATATATAATATAATGATGTAATATATATTTTAACATGAATTATATAAATATCTTTTCTTTTTTTATTTTTTTTTTTTTTTTTTTTTTTTTTAAATAAATACGAATATCTCGAATAAAATGATTCATTCGATTTCATACAATTTAAATAATAATTTATGCTAATTACTTAAGATATAACAAAAAACAAAAATCAATCATACTAAATGACTATCACGTAAAGAAATAACGTAAAGTAAACGTTAACTTGCGGATGATTCATTAAATGCAAGCCAGTAAAAATAGTCGTCGTTGTTTTTAGGAACATATTCTCATACGTCACTAACAACGAAAGTACCCCGAAGTACTATTATTAGATGGGGATCACACTTCCTAATCCAATTCAATAAAAACATAGATGAGAATATAACCCCTCCTTCTTGTCATCATTACATATAGTTAATATAATAATATAAAGCGTATAATATATATATATATATACACATATTTATTTATAATGTGTGCGTGTGTTTGTATATATATATATAAATATGTATGTAATAAATAACAATATATAACGTTAATATATTACATATATATACACATATTTATTTATAATTTGTGTGTGTTTGTGTATATATAAATATATATGTAATATATTAACATTATATATGTTGTTATATATTATTTTATATTAACGTACCAAATACACATATGTTGCATCTATATATATACATATATATATATGTATGGATACTACGTAGGTATCTATATAAGTGTGTATGTATATTTAGATACTCTCTACGAAGGGATATTACGCGGCCGGATGGTAATGACCCTCCCTGTCGATGCAATGATCATCCTTCTTGTATTTGCAGTACGTAACTAACCATAGGCCAAAGGGGACACGATCTACGTACCGTGATCGACAAATTCCTAATAACTCGATCATTTTTTTTTTTATTTTCCTTATACCCATATTTTATCTCCACTCATTCTTTTTTTTTCCCACTTGGCGTGTTGTGCACTACGAGTGTGTACGTTTATCTCTCGAGGCACTTCTTCCTAGATAGGACGATTCAAATTAGGTGAGTGTGCGAAATCACAAATTTTCCTTTTTTTTTTCTTTTTTTTTCTATGACATTTCTTTTAATTAAATTAATTCGAGTTTATCGATAAAATTTTTATATGAAGAAATTCTTTTTCTTTTTTTTCTTTCATAATTTTTGTTTTGTCGATAACGTTAGGGATATGATCTTTGAAAATTGTAAATCTTTCATTAATTTTAATTAATTTTATATTGCGTTATTTTCTCGTTTTATAAATTCGCATTATCGTTATTGAAGATAAGTTATCATGGTCGATATAGACACTATAATATATCATTTTATATTATGAAACCAATTAGTTGCATATTGCGCTTCAATTTATTCTGCAATAATGTCAAAGCAACGGATCGTTCATTTTTTGTGTTTCGTTTTTTAATCAAAGGTTTTAGAAGAAAAAACATTAATCGTAAGTATACAATATATATATATATACAGAGTTTTGTTTTCACCTAACTACACCACCTCAAATATATTACTTATTTCGTACGATAGAATCAAATCTCAGAGAGAAAGAAAATATTTTGTTCGAAGGGCCAATACGGTGATGAACCGAATTTTATTCTCAATATCCATTTTCTTTGTCGAGATTTTAAGGTCATTGCATGTTTCTTAAATGGGACTGCATACTTTCACTGCAACAATCTTATAGCTTGTAAAGAAACGAATCCAACGAGATGC